TCAGATTTAGTTATTTGTTCTTCCTCTTCTGGAAGAATTGAGATGGATCTATGCTTTAGTTCACTGTTATTGATCAAAGAGCATCTTCCTCCTCTTCAAGGGAGTTTTATCTTCAAGCAGGTAGAAAAGTTTTCCAGTTTGGAGACTGTTTTTTTTTCATGCTGATCAATTGTGTTCCAAACTGTATGACTCGTGACCTGGTGTGTTCCAGCAGGTCAGCACATTGGTGAAATGTCTTTGAATCAAGATTGCTCTCTTTGGGAGGGGAAAAAACAACCTCCTGACTGAAACCACCTTCGTTCTTTTCATGCATGACACATTTGCTAACTTCTCATAGCTAATGAGGCCAATCTGAATTTTGAAGAAACTTACACTGTTAAGATGACTTTTCCCACATTATCTGCTGTGATATGTCAGGTGTGTTGGGTTTTGGTTTTTGTTGTTTAAGAACTCTGCTGATACAGAACTGCTGATGTGAAATGTCTGTTTTATTCATGTTAGTCCCACATTTTATTTTGGGTGCCATCTCAGGATTTGAAGTCTTTCAGAGGCACTGTGTTCCCTTCCAGTGGGAAGCATGTGTCGAGGAGTGGTGCCCATTGGAAGTACTGAGTAGTGAGCATTGGAAACACTGAGTAGTGAGCGTTGGAAAGGACAACTGTTGTAAGTCAGGCAACATGGGATAAGTGAGCAGTCCTGTGTGTCTCTTGTGCCAGTGGGATGGGAGTAGGAACAGAGTGTCTCTTGTAGGAGCCGTGCTCTAGAGCTGGAAAGTATCCCTGAACTTTCTCTTGGAAGAGGCAGAACGCAGTGGGGGAAACCCTCACTAATATGGAAAGTGGCAGGATGGAGAACTGTATTGCACTTGTTGCTTTCTAGTGAGTTCTATTTAATTCATTAATCAGCCTGATCTTTTTCCAGAGAAAAGAAAAAAGCGTCGACTGGGGCTAGAAGTTATTTTTGCAGTCTTGGATTATGCTGGCTGGAAGGAAAATGTAAAAGCATGGAGCTGTTTGGCAAGACAGGTGAAACAAATTGTGATGTGAGTATGGTATCTCTGCTCTGATGTGCTATAAACCCAAATGTTTGTCAGTTCTCCACCTTTGGGCAATCCCCAAAGTGGTTCTTTGTAGCCTTTGTCATCCCTGCTGGTAAATGGAAGCATCCTCTGGCCTTCCTTGAGCTCTGTGGCTGGTGCTGTGTGGAGTGGTGTGTTGTGTGGTGGTAACAGTAACTGGTACAGAATGTGGCCAATGTGTTCTTAAAAGTGAAGTCACTGTGCCTGGGGATTGATGTGTCCTTGCCAGCACCAACAGACAGGGTGTCTGGTTTCAGAAGAAGCCATCTCAGGCAGCCTGTGCCCAGAAGGCCTGTAATGTCTAGACTCTATTTTGCCCAACAAACAGTGTTGTGTTTTTTAAGCCCTATATATTTACAGCAAATTAATTCAGTACTTAATTTGACCTGTTTTCCTGTTTTATTGCCACCTCCGCAGCATCTGCTGTTAAAGGTCCAGAAGCTAGTGGATTAAAGCTAGGAGTGTTGTTGCTTAGAGTTAGGAAAAATGGTATGATAGTCCAACTTGGCGTTTTTGTATTTGAAGATACAACTTCAGAGTATCTTGAAATACACTGGGCATCTTGGTTGTTTTATATCCCTGTTGTAGGTAGTTTCTATTTCTGAAATGCTTGGTTTAAAGTCTTCATAATAGTTACTGGGATAGGTGTTTGTGATAAGTTAGTCTTTGAGTATGCATAGAGTAACACATACCTTTTCTAAAAACAAACTCCTTCATACTACTGATTTGTTGACAAACTTGAAGAAACTTTCTTATTACTGTTGACAAACTGGCACAGGAGTCAAAGGCTCGCTTCATTTCATGCCATCATCCATGTTACTGCCAAGTTGAACTGCTAGAGTTCATCTCCTGCCTTGCTACTGCCAGGCATTAAAAAAAAAAAAGATTATTTCTGTTTAGATTAGTGTTTCAGTCTGCAGTTAAGGTCAGTGGGTCTTTGCTAGAAATCTGAGACTTGTAACAAGCTGATTATAAAACTCAGCGACTCCTAATCATTTTTTAATCCCAATTTAAGCTTTTGTGTAACTTGTTTTACCTTTTTCCAGCTCTGAGAAGCATCTTGACTGGATCAAGCAAGAGTGGAACCCCAGGAAGGACTGGTGGCCAGCTTTCCATTTTAGCCGCTACTTGGCAAAAAGGAATTGGCAGGAAAATGAAAGTCTTTCATATGAAAAAGCTCTGGTCGCTGGCATCTTACTGGGGAAGGGTAATGTTTAATGTTCTTTCCTTTTCACTATGTAGAACAAAAATAGTGTCTAGTTCTAGCCCTAATGAGATGGGAATAGATCAGCTGCATCCCTGGAAGAAATGCAGTTTCTTTCTTCTAGGAAAGATTGTTGTCTTTGAAGCTGAACAGGAGAAAAGTGTTTAAACTGTTTTGATATTTGACAGTGAGACGCATTTTGCATAACTTGTCGTATCCTGGTTTAGAATTCTGTTTCATCTGGCATTGTTGAGCAGTCACAGTACTACTCAGTTTGTTGTTTAACCTTCAAACTTCAATTTCAAAAATGCACAACCCTCTCCTGAGTGAATCTGGTGAGGAGTGCGGGGAGTTTGCTTGTTGCCTGCCAGTGCACGCAGTGTCTCAGCAAATCCTGGGGAGCAGCTGGGCCTTAGGGACTGTGGCTTGTACCCCATTTTGGACTTTTGGTTGATAGGCAAGTTGTTCATTGTCACCTTTTCTATAACTTCATCTTCTGGACTTAATAAAATAATTTCTCCTGTTGAAAGGCTTTTTTATTTTTTGCTTTCAGTAGTATGTTATCAAATGTCTTTCAGTTATTATTACCAGATGGCTAATAAAATTGCTCCAGCTCTAATTTTCTTTAATGAAGTTTCTGTGCTTATTGGTGTTAATATGAACCTCTCTCTTCCTTATCCAACATGATAAGTTGATGTATGAAATCAGTCCTGCTTTACACTCTTGGGATTTGACTTTCTAATCTATTTGAAGAGTAAAAGCAAAAGAGAAAGAATGTTTTGCAACACACAGCATACAGTTATATACATGTGGAATGTTTTCCTGGGTCAAATGAGGATAGGTTATTTAATGCTGCAGTTATGTCTCAGATTATTTTATTACCTTTCATTACTGAAAACTTTCTTAGATGTTTGCATGTTATTTAAACAGTGAAAGCATTTGGGATTTGCTTGTATTGTGGTATAACTTACACTGCTTTTTCTTTTTCTTTTACCTTAGATTGCAAATATTTTAAATATGTATCACACCGAGGCTGCAAAGCTCAGGTGAAAAGGTTTCGGATACTGAAGAAATTTTTGAATAAGCACAATCCCGTCTACCTGAGACTCTCTGGTCTTTTGGATTCCTCTGTACAACCTTGATCAGAAGATGCCCTTAAGGTTCTTGCTGTATTTATTCCTCTCTGTGAAACTGACTTCTAAAGTTCTAACACTTGTAAGCAGACCATATCGACTCCGTTTTAGATTTTTTTTATATATTTCTGTAAAAATGCTTTGGTTTGTATTTATTTTATAATAAAATGAATATAAATCAACTTATAAGGTTGGGGAATTTCTTTAATATTAGTCCCACATTTTTGTGAAATGCGAACAGCATTGATTTGAAATACATCTTGTGAAGTATTTAGTACTATGGTGTGGAATTTCTGTATCAATAGTATTTTAGGGTTGATCCTCCTTATGTTTAGATGATGACTTGAATGGCTGCTGGAACGTAGGTCAAGAATGGATTTTGAAGTGGCATTCATAATAGCTGTTGTGTTGTCACAAACTAGCATTCCAGTTTGCTTGAAAACAACAACACACTGGTTTCCAAATACTACTTGTGTTACAATGACAGGTCTGTAAAACTATGGGGGATGAACTGCTTGAACTACCTCTGAGAATGAAATCTATCTTTAATAGCATAGTAGTATATGGGTAAATAAACACTCAGCTTTTAAAAGCACAGTTGTATCTGGGACTTTGGTCTGGCTTAAGACGGGTGTTGTGATATGTGCCTTAAGGACATCTGTCTTAAATGTTAAGTGAGGTACTTACCATAACTGTATGTTCTGTCAAAAAAGAAGGCACTATCTGCCATTCCAGACCTGTGTGCTAGTTTAAGTTCTGACCCCCTGAGAATGCTGCTGCCTCATTCTGTGATAGTCTGGGTTCTGTTGGAGGTCTTCACCTGAGTTTTGTCTGTTCCCATTTAGATTGTGAAGTTTCAGAGCAGTCTTCCCCTGCATCCCTCCTGTGGTGTGTCCCATGCCACTGGGAAGCAACCCCCCTTAATCTCAAAGATGGCCCAAACTCTTGCTCCCAATGACTCATCTTGAGTTTCAGGCCTGGAAAAAAATATCTTGTGCATACTTAATGTCAGTTGAGATAAAACCTAATAAATTAGCTTAAGCACAGGGTTACCACAAAATATCTGTCAACCTCAGGTTGTGCTGGTGCCTTAAATGTGTTTTCTCTTTTGCTCTTCCTGAATTTTTTCTCATTTTAATCTTGAATTTATACCTGGATTTGTGGGTAACAGCAATATACATGTGAAGTTTTTTGTTCTGAAATTACTTTATCCATGGTTGACTGCTGCCTTAATGAAGCTGTGTTTTATGACCCCTATTCAGTCTTTATGAAACCAGACCCCAGTCTGATGCATTTTAAGAGTTGAGTAAAATAGTAGTTACCAATTGAAAATTACTCATCCTTTGCTGTTGTAAATGGGGAGAGATTATCAGTTTCTGTGTATAAGTATCATATGTTGTATTTTTATCTGTTGTTTGTATTTCTTGGTGAAGGATTTCTCAGCCAATTTAGGCTGAGATGCAAGGATTAGGTTTGTGAGTGCTTCTAGGGGCATGAGAAATGCTCAGAGGGGAGGGTTCAGCTGTGTGACGTGTAAAATACCAACGAGGGTTTCTCTCCTGCCAAGTAGTAAACTTCAGAGAGAAGAAGGGAGAGAGAATGTAAGCAAACCGGAGTGAATGCTGAGCTCTGTGGCTGGCAGTTCATACAGAGAGAGGATGAATGAACCACACTACAAAGCAGTCCAGGATTTCTATACGTCTGACCTCAAGAAACCTACACAGAAGGAAAGGAATGTTTGGTCGTGCCATGGAAGGAGCATCAGCAGCTCTGGAATTCCCTTTTCTTGCCCACAGGTCTTTCTTTGCCTCTCCCTCTTGTGCCTGCTGGGCAGCCTGCTGGGGCATCCTCAGTGTCTGGATTACGGGCCACCTTTCCAGCCCCCTTCTGGCTTGGAGTTCTGCTCTGCCTATGAAAACTTTGGCTGCTGTGACCAGGAGAGAGACAACAGCATTGCTGCAAAATACTGGGACATCATGGATTACCTTGATCCCCGGGGGCATAAGCTGTGTGGAACGTATATCAAAGATATCCTGTGTCAGGTAGGGCCAAAAATGAGTTTCTGCATCCTACGCTTTGGGCTGACCAGGGGGTCAGTTGTGGTTTTGATAGCCTCTTACAGCTATCTGTGTCGTTAGGAAAAGAGGAGGGGGGGGAAAGGGGGCTGAGGTACCTAATCCTCAGCATGCATTTTGCTTTGTGTAAGGTGCATTACTTTGTGGTGTGGGGGTGTGTGTGTATATATATATATATGCCAATATATAGTGACATCTGAGAGCAATAATGATTTATGAAAGTGCTGCCATCTCTGGTGGTGATGGGAATCCTGCTGCTGGGCTAATTTTCTCATAATGAAAGGGAGAGTTACAGATCAGTATTTATTTTCTGCTCGCAGCTACTATGTGCTGGATTACAAATGCTACAGGATCAAATGATACGTGAATTATCAGGCAAAGTGTTTGGATCCCTGGGCCTCGTGAGGGATGTGTTTTGATCGTGTTCCTGCTGAGGATGCTCCAGCTGCTGTGGTTGTTACAGCAGAACAAAATTGAACAGGCTTTAATAGGTTTCTCACAGCGACTGCAGGGTCCTGAGGCTTCAGCCAGTGTGTTCTCAGCAGTGCTGTCTCCTCGCTGTCCATCGGGCTCACAGAAACATCTGGCTGCTGTTGGGCAGCCAGAAAACACCACGGGCACCGCTCTTCCTGAGCTTCCCCCTCCTTGTAATGGGAGGGCAGGACTGACCTGCTGTTCTAACAACTCCTGATCGTGCAAAGCTGGGCTTACCGCATGCCAAAACACACAGCTGCCAAAATGCACACTTAATCTCACTAAGAACGTATAAAACTCTTCTAATTAATATTTCCTTAGCCCTAGGATTATCTGTGTACCAAAATGTTCCCAGCCTTTTTGGACGCTGGCAGTATTCTGGCTTCTCTTTGGGGTGAGGGAGACACCCCTTCAGCACCAGGGCTGGAAAAAGTAGCAGCATTTTATGGTCAGTAAACCAGAAAAAGACATGTTACACGTCCCAGCAGAAACACCACTCTTGGTGCTATTAAAGAGTTTTCTACATGTTGCGGGTAGAAAAAAAAAAGACTAGAAAAACGTGCCTGTTGCCTCTTTGTTCATTCTGCAGGGCATAATTTAATTTTGCTTTTGTTGTAAGTGTATGCTGTAGCAAAAAAATCAAACCCACCCTGTATGTTTTCTTGTGTGTCTTCAAAGTAATAAGTTATTACTCTTCTAGTATCTTTCTAGAGTAAAATTGCTGTTAAATCTTCGGGGAGGAGCTTGTATTTGTGTTATGTGGTTTTCTTCCTGTTGAAGTTGATCACAACCTTGGAAATGAGGTTGTGTTCTCTGGCAAATATTTGGCTGTTGAATTAGTGGAGGAGCGAAGATCTACCAAGTGGTTTTGCTTTAGAGATGTCATCAATTTGTTACTCATGGTTGCACGTGGAAGGGATGGAAAATGATGATACCTGCATTCTCCCATCTCCACAGTATCCTGATAGCTTGTAGTCGTGCAACATTGATGTGAAAGATGTGTCCTGGTTTGGGGACTGCTGGTCTGGAGAAGTCCAAAGGCTAACATCGTAGTGCAAAGGGTGAGAGAGGTAACAAATTCTTCTTCTAAGTCCCTTAAGAACAGGTTACAAAGTACTGAGTTTAAAATCTAGCAGGGTGAACTGAGGGGAATGTCTAAAAGCAAAGTTAAGACAAGATTGCAACAAGATTGCCTGTTGCTGCTTTAAAAACCTCTAGCAGTGGAGAACCCACAGCCTCCGTAGATGTACTTCTGTTGGGAAAAACCTAGGTGCAGCTGATTGTGCTTAGGTAAAGGAAACAGCTATTGACCTTTACATCCCCTTTAGCCATATTCTGAGTGACTTTCTACTACTCCACTTGAAAGACGACTCATCACGTTCTTTGCCTTATTCATTTTTCTATTTTTTTCAAAACCATTTTACTTCCATAAAGGTGTCTTGGCTCCTCCTGGATGCATGTACAGAGTCACATATTTAGTTTCTTTTACTTTCTAGGAATGTTCTCCATATGCTGCACATCTCTACGACGCAGAAAACCCTTGGACGCCTCTAAGAAACCTGCCGGGACTCTGTTTTGACTACTGCTCCGAGCTCCACTTCAACTGCCGCTCTGCCCTCAGCCTGCTGGTGGGTGACAAGAACACCCCAGGGTGCTGCGAGGCCAACAAGACGCGCTTCTGCAACCTCCTTCACCTCCACGATGAGGACTACTGCTTCCCCAACGTGCTGAAGAACACGGCCCTCAACCGCAACCTGGGCTCAGTGGTGGAGGACCGCAGGGGCTGCCTCCAGCTCTGCCTCACCGAGGTTGCCAACAGGCTGAGGAACCCGGTGCTCATGGTGCACGCGAAGGACCAGACCCACCGCATGTTTGTAGCTGAGCAGCTGGGCGTCATCTGGGTCTACCTGCCTGATGGCAGCCGGCTGGAGGAGCCCTTTCTGGATATTAAAAGCATAGTGCTGGCTACGCCATGGCTGGGAGATGAGAGAGGCTTCCTGGGGATGGCTTTCCATCCCCAGCACAAGTACAACAGGAAGTTCTATGTCTATTACTCATACATGGATAAGAACCGGGTGGAAAAGATCAGGATCAGTGAATTGAAGGTTTTAGCATCTGATGTCAACAAAGCTGATCCACTCTCGGAAAGGTAAAGTTCGTGTTGAATGCTATTGCATGCCACCATGAGAAACTATTTATCTTTGTCCCCGTCCTTCCTTCTTGTGGAACCCTTCCCAGGTGTACGACTGGCCTACTGGGAAGCTACCAGAGACAGGCTGGCTCAAGGTCACACAGCAAACTAGAAAGGAAACTGGAAAGAGGACCTAGGATCTAGGCTTCCAGGTCACCTTCTCTCTCTATCTTGTACTCTTGCCTTCTAAAGAGCAGTAATAGCCTTAAGCCTGTTGTGGAATTAACTATGCTTTTATCTGGGGTGTGTGCCCCTGCCCTATCCCACTGCTAAGAAAAACAGCTAATTCTCAGTTATGGAGCAGAATTTGTTATAGCGGGCTTATTTTTTCTCTGGAGTTTCACAATCACCATAAGATGCTTCTGAAGCCCTCAAATTCACCAACTACTTCTCATGTAAGGAAGCAGAACCCACCTGGTGCAATCAGAGTTCTGTGTCTGTGGTGGTGTTTTCGGGTGAGCTGTGATACCCCTGTGCTCGTGGCGGTGGGTGAGCTCTGTAGCACCAGAGGTGTTGATGTGGTGCAGGCCAGAGCTGTAGCACACAGGACACTTGTAATTCTGCATGGCTGGTGGAAATGTGATCCCCAAATTGAGGGATTTCCTGAAGGAGATCCACTGTAAGGCAGCTTTCTTTCTTGTGTTCTTCTGTAGAAGTCATGCGATCTTTCTGTACCCTACCTCAGCCCTTGCCAGTGGCTACAAGTGGAGTTGTTTCTCCTTTTTTTAGGAATCTTTTGGAGCTTGAAGAACCAGCTGCAAATCATAACGGTGGGCAGCTGCTCTTCGGTGTGGATGGCTACATGTATCTGTTCACAGGGGATGGAGGGAAAGCTGGAGACCCCTTTGGAAAGTTTGGGAATGCTCAGAACAAGTAAGTAGGAGAGCACTCGAAAGCCTTGAGCTTGTCCACCAGAACCACAGGGTTTGGAAATAAGACAATGTGGAAGAATAAAGGAAGAGTGCTCCCTGAAAGTGCTTGTGCATCTGCACATCTGTCCAATGCTGTATTTCCAAAACTTAATTTTACGTTTTGAAAGCTGAGGGCACCCAATTTGTTGATGGGGTGGGGGGGGAAGTCTTCTGTGACTTAAATTGCAAGACATTCCAGCTGTTGGTTTGTCTCTTTTGGACAAATAACTTTTCCTTTGGAAAGGAAGGAGAGGGAGAGAATCGTTCACTTTCAGTTGGCTCTAACGGGCATTTTGGTTTTTGTTTTTTTTTCCTGTCATTTTCTTTAGGAGTGCTTTGTTGGGGAAAGTCTTGAGGATTGACGTGGATGGAAAAAGCCCTGATGGAAAGCCTTATCGCATCCCTCCCGATAATCCTTTTGTGTCGGACCCCACGGCCCGCCCCGAGGTTTATGCCTATGGGGTGAGGAATATGTGGCGCTGCGCTGTCGACAGAGGGGACCCTGTCACAAAAAAGGGAAGAGGGAGGATATTCTGTGGGGATGTCGGGCAGAACAGATTTGAAGAAATCGACATCATTGTTAAAGGAGGAAACTATGGCTGGAGAGCAAAGGAGGGATTTGAATGCTACGACACAAAGCTTTGTCACAATTCTTCTTTGGGTAAGGAATTCCTGCTGGAACGCTTGGTGCAATCACAAACTTGTAAGATGATCCTTCCTGCATTGCTCCCTGGATGCAGAGAATCTTGGTCCTATGTGTTATGGAAGCTCATCATGACTAGGCCTTGATAAGCAACCGCACAGAGAGCTCCTTAAAGCCCCTGGGGTCTGTTCTGTCCTGGAGCAAATTACTGAATTCCCACTGAAATTTAACTATGCCTTTGTTCAACTGTCCTGTCATTTTTATGCCCGTCGGTGTCATTGAGCGATTGCTTTTTTTTTTTTTAAATGCTCCCTGGATGTAAATTTTCTCACTTCTTGTGCTTGTGTATTTCACAGATGACATTCTTCCAATTTTTGCCTATGGCCGCAACGTGGGGAAGTCAGTCACCGGAGGTTACGTCTATAGGGGATGTGAATCGCCCAACCTGAACGGCCTCTATATTTTTGGTGATTTCATGAATGGGTGAGACTCACTGTTTTCCCTGCAGCTCCCATTCTCTACCCATATTTGCCTTATCCAGGAAAATGAGCACATCAGAGCATCCTGAAACCTTTTCAGCTGGAGTAAACGAGAATCCCGTATGTCTCTGTGTTAGATTAAGGGCTCTGTTTGACCTTTATAACAACGTTATAGTTGGAATCTAAACTTCTTCCAATTTAGAGTCCTTAGGGTAGGTTTGCTTTTGTTCAGGTCTGTTTTTCCAAAAGTCAAACATTAAAGCCAGCCAACAGTCAGGGTCCTCACTGATTTTTTCTTTTTTTTCCAGTAATGCATGATTTTGACAGGAACTAACCTTGATAATGGAAACATAAAACACGGGGTTTTATTTTTCATCTAGTCGACTTATGGCTTTACAGGAAGAGGAGAAGGCAAATAAGTGGAAGAAGCAAGATATCTGCATCGGCAGCACAAAAGCTTGTGCTTTCCCTGGAATGATCAGTTCTTACAGCAAATTCATCATCTCATTTGCTGAGGATGAAGCAGGTGGGTCTCATGCCAAACCATACCTTTATGGGCAATACTGTCAGTTCCATATTGCAGGGCAAATGTGTAAAATTATCTTGCTCCTCACGAGCTTCCAGAGAGAAGGCACAGCAAACCAGGGTCGTGGCTATACAGTGGTACAGAGAGGTCTCCTGCCCTGCAAGGCTATCACAGATCAGCTCGATGGAGAGCTCAGGAGACACATCCTCACCTGAACTTGCAGCTTGAATGCTCCAGGTTCTCCAAGGAGCTTGAACTCCTCTTTGTTTCAGCCTTTCCCTGGCCGCCTGTTGTTGTTTGTTTATGCTGTTTCATTAATAAAAAGACTCTATCAATGCAGTTTGTTCTTTCATCATAACAGCTCATCCTCACTGAAGTCCTTACAGCTTATCTGAATTTCCCCCTCTTCATTAGTATAAATTCCTGTCTTTAGTCACACCAGGAGCACTTCATGCTGTAGATTATACACCAGGAAAGCCACTAATTTGGAAGTTGAGTGGAAATGTCTCAGTGCACAGGATTATTGCTATGGTCACGATGACCAGATCTCTCACCAAAGTGGAAGTACCAATGTGTATTTTGTTTGCTTTTATATAGTCTCTTGACAAAGAGCTATGTCATACAAAAAGCACCTGCAAATTTTTTTGAGAACCCAGATGTGCTTTAACGAGCTCTGATGCTTCATGATTCAGCAGAAAAAAGATTTGCTTGTAACGAGAAGATCTTGAATCCTCAGGGTAGCATCTTCTGTCAAAGACAAAGAGCTATGTCATACAAAAAGCACCTGCAAATTTTTTTGAGAACCCAGATGTGCTTTAACGAGCTCTGATGCTTCATGATTCAGCAGAAAAAAGATTTGCTTGTAACGAGAAGATCTTGAATCCTCAGGGTAGCATCTTCTGTCAAAGGTGCAGGGGGGGTTCCGGCTTTGTTATGAAATATTAGAACAGTTAAAAATTGTACATAGCACGGGGAGCGAGTGGATGTTAAATGTTGCCGGCTTTGTTATGAAATATGTACAATTTTACCTGTTCTAATAGCACGGGGAGCGAGTGGATGTTAAATGTCTCTTCTACTATAATTTGCCTGGATGTTGTTCTCGTGGGTGCTGAAGGGAAGGCACGAGGAGCAGTTGCTGTCCTCAGCAGCCACACAGGAATAAGAAGCTTCTGTCTCCCATGGATTAGCCAATTTAGCCCTTGTTGGACTTTTATTTTTTTGGTACAATTCTGGGATGATTAAATATTTGTTGTGTGGTCTTCCCCTCTGTTTGTAGCTTCTGGCTGCTGCTTTGGTACAAACAAGTTTAAAAAATACATATTTATACAGACGAAAGTAACTTTTTGGAGGGCCACTGACATGAGGTGATGAAGGTCCCACGAATAAGTGAAGAGCCAGGAAAGTGGGGAAACAGAGAACTGGGATTCAGCTCTGGCATGGGCACTTGAGTCTGAAACTGATTTTCTTCTTTCACATCCATTTAGGTGAGCTGTATTTTATGTCCACTTCTTATCCCAGTGCCTATGCACCACATGGATCGCTCTACAAGTTTATTGATCCTGCAAGGTGAGTAATTAAAGATGTTTTTTCTGTGCCAAATTGCTATATAATCACCATCCATTCGCCAGTTATCACAGCAGAAAGAATGTTAAGTACTACTGACAGGTAACCTCACCGACCTCCACAGCCAGCCCTTGGGTTTTGTTCGCTCACTGTAAATCTGGTGCAACTTTAATCAGTTTTAGTGAATTTACTCCTCACTCATCATATCTGTGCACCCAGAAATAGACAGAGTTCAGACACCTTAAAGGTGTTATCAAAATAATGTCTCCTTGGTTGCATCACTGAAGTATAGCAATGGTGTTTTAAAAAATGAGAGTTCCATATCCTTCAGGGGCATGACATCAAATATCTGTGTTGCACTTTCATATAAATAAACAAATTGCAGCCCACAGTCTAGTTTCCCTCACAAAGAAGAGTGAAACCTGGAGGTTCGTGCAGTGTTCAAGTAATGATTTGAGCCTGAACCTGAGTTTTTCCTAAGAGAAATGTTTGGGGTTTTTTTTTTGCCATTAAGCAGTTACCCATCCTAGTCTGGTTTTAGAATAATAACAACGCTTATGTAATTTTTTTCCCCTCCCAAGCTTTTGGATCTTGTTAAAAAGCATTATCCTAAAGTCTGGTTTTAGAATAATAACAATGCTTATGGAATTTTTTTTCCCCTTCCAAGCTTTTGGATCTTGTTAAAAAGCATTAAATGAGTTCCAAATCACCCTGTAGAGAAGATACAGTACTAGTGTTTCTGTGCTGTTGCTGAGAGCGCAGACATTAACAAAATGAAGAAAATAAGCTATTTTTCTTGGGTGGTAAAACCCAAAGCTAGATAGTGAAGTCAAACTCTATACCAAGGTGATGGAAATAGGAAATTGAGTCTTTTACTTGTTGTAACTACTTGAGGGGTCTCTTGCCTTTAACAGTTTCTTGTCTTTTGGACTGCATTAACTGACCAAACTGACCAAAGTGTCACATTTTCAAGAAAAAAAAATAAATTTGTGAGCTCGCATGAAAATTGAGAGCTTGAGCATGCTCTATTTGACAAAAAAAAAAAATTAAAAAAAAAGGCGGAAAAAATTAAAAAAGGCCTGCAGTCCCTGTGCCATTCTTTAGTGCACCGGGAAGACTATTGGGATGATAAATCCTCTTTAAGCTCCCTGTGCCATTCTTTAGTGCACTGGGAAGACTATTGGGATGATAAATCCTCTTTCCCGCTGTAAAGGGAGAAATGCAGATTTCTCCATGAAGGGGCAGTGAGCTCCTGCCAGGTCTGCAATGGCTTCATTGCTCCCAAGGGCTTTGTGGAAAGCTTTTTGGAGCTTCATATCCATCACTTCCAGAGCAGGACCAGGCACTTACTCCCTTGGCTCTTTGGAATTTATTCTTGTATTTTCTGGTTCCCCTTGTTTACTTTAGCCCAGGTGCTCAGCTCTGCCCCTGTCTGTTTGCTTGTCCAGCTATTGTTATTCAGACAGGGGTTTTATGGCTTGCAGCCCTGAGTTTAGGCTCTTGAATTCCACCAACGTTGCACTCCAGGTGCCCAATGTGCTCTGGTACCTCTTGCAGCAGAGGCAAGTGACAGTGGGGGATTGATGTGTGCCTCTGGAATAAACAAACTTCCTTACCAATCCCTCAGATATCTGCCTGTGGCTTTCTGTTTTTCAAGGAGAGCTCCACCAGGGAAGTGTAAATACAAGCCTGTTCCGGTGAAAACAAAGAGTAAACGGATACCATTCGTTCCACGTGCAAGTAAGTCGTTAGGCTTTAATTTAATGAGAAGCAAAACATAAAACCATTTTGCAGGCACGCGACTGAAATCTTTAGCACCCTTAAAAACTAAAGCACTGAGGAGGAGCTATCTTGGAAGTTACGTTATCATATTTAAGGTGTGCTTCTGCCATCTACTAGATGCCAGGCCTTTTCTTAATCCCAGTCTCTGATTTTTTTTTTTTTTTTTCTCAGTGTTGCCAAGTAATAGTGTAAATGGGCATCAGGAGGGAACTGATGGCTTTGGATTTGGTCTGGGAAGTTTGGAGTGCCTGTTCCTAGCTCTGTGACAAGTTCCTTAAGTCAAATAATCTCCTCTCTGTAAATCTAAAGAATCTAAATCTTCCTTTCTCCTGGTCTTTTTCTATCCTATGGCCCAGGCAACTAGGGCAGGGGTTTACATCCTATTATTGAGTAGAAACAGTGTTGGGCAAGGTGGGGTTATCTTCTCTGGGATTTCCAGATATTAGTGCAACATGAAAAACTCATACTGTTAAGTCTGCCAAAGAGGTGTGTGAGGTTTCATCATATTCTGTCTGGATTTTTTTGCCTTAAGTATACATTTCTACACTTAAACAAATTTTATTTCCAAGAAACCTATGGCTCCTTTGATGGAAGAAGAGAGGTTTATATAGTGTGTCTTTCTTCTTCCAGAATGTCAGCTATTTTTCTTAACTGTAGCTCTAATAGTGGCTTATATCAGTCATATCTCTGAATTAGCCTTTTGTCTTAAAGCAGGGATGATGAACCATGTTAATTACTTTCCTCAGAGACTGTCCTTGAGCTGCTTAATGAACCTTCAACAACCAAGCCTTGGAAAAAATCTTCTACCTCCACTGCAGCCATCCCAACTGTTTCTTCTAAGAAAGCAAAAAAGACCTCACCCACCAAAATAAAAGCATCAAGAGCGAAACCAGCTCCATCTGGTAAAAAGAGACAGAAAACCAGAACTGAGGCTAAACATCACAGGCCAAAGCAGAGAGAGAAGGTCACACATGCTTCCAGAGCTACACCAGCACCACCCATGCCAAAGAAGAAGAGCTCTCGCCTAACTAGAACCAAGAAGCTTCTTCAAAGGAAAGCAGCACTAGCTGAGGAAAAAGCAGAGAAGAGGAGGAGGGAGAGGAGACTAAGCAGCAGCTTTTGAAGCTCGGCTATTTCCCAGAAGAGGCAAGTCACTTCTGAGATGGTGAAATAAACGGTGCCTCTCCATTAATGTCAGCATTCTCAGTCTCTATATATGTTCTTTTTAAACCTTAACAGCACCAGCCTCCTAATAGTAACTCTCTGTGCAAACCCTGCTGGGATGTGACGTCCTTCTCTGACAGAAGTAGTCATGGGAGTTGCTGATGGACAGTCACGGGTAAGATTTGACTCTGTACAACTGTCTAATAAATCCAAGTGCTCCCAACATTCAGGACTTGCATCTTTTATCCAAGAATTTTAATAGACGTGTCAGTGACCTTGCCTTTCTCTCTTTTTTTTTTTTTCCTTTGTCCTTTAACTGAAATGCAGTGACAAGTAGATTTTAAAAGCAGCTGTCTGTCCTACAATGAAATTAGATTTTTTTTTTTAAAGCAATATTTTTTTTTTTTAAGGTATGATCACTTCCAGGTTCCAAAGGATTCAGTAAGAGCTGAAAATCATAGAAAGGTTTGGTTTGGAAGGGACCTTAAGGATTGTTGAGTTCCAACCCTCCTGCCATGGGCAGGGACACCTCCCACCAGACCAGGTTGCTCCAAGCCCCATCCAGCCTGGCCTTGAACCCCTCCAGGGATGGGGCAGCCACAGCTTCTCTGGGCAACCTGTTCCAGTGTCTCACCACCCTCACAGGGAAGAATTCCTTCCCAGTATCTCATCTCAAGCTGTGGGGTGAGGGCAATGGGGTGCTCCTGGGAGAAGTGGGAGAGCGAGGGCTGTAACAAACTTCACTGTTCTTTTCCAGACAAGTGTATTTATTTGCGTAGCAGAGCCCTGGCCTGGGTTTTAAACTCCTACTTCTGGTGTGAGAGGGAGCCAAAGCAAATGACATAATTTGGCAGTTCCAGTGTTACCTCTGTCACCTACCGCCACCCTCTGGTCGCACCCTTCAGGGATACAAAAAGTAGCACCCTGCTGCTGCAGCTGGGGGCTGACTGCCCTCATCTTCCCTCCGCCCCCGCGGAGCGAAACTCACAGCTCGGTTAGAAGAGAGGGGGGAAAAAAGGAAAAAAAAAAAAAAAAAAAAGGGGGAGTAGGCCCCAGCGAGGATCGAACTCGCGACCCCTGGTTTACAAGACCAGTGCTCTAACCACTGAGCTATGGAGCCGCCTATCCCTTGCACTCCTGTAGATAGCTCCTGTCCCTTTCCCCGGGCCGTCTGGTCCCTGCGGGGAGAGCCCGGCTGCCGCCGCGGGCGGGGGTCGGCACCCCTTCCGCTGTGCGAACGGGAGGCGGCGGGCAGGCCCCCGCCGGGCTCGGGCGGGCGGTGCGCGGTAGCCGCAGGTTGGCGGGCCGCGCTTCAGGCCTCAGGCCTCGGTGGGCCTCAGGCAGCGGCCCCGCGTCCCGCTCTCCGCCCCGGCCGTTCCCGTCTCGGTGCAAGCAGCAGGGAAGCTCTGGAAGCTCCCTTCTGCCGTGTCTCCTCACCCCCCGGCCGGTGCAGGGCCGTCCAGGCCCTATGGGGCCTCCAGCCCTTTCCGGGCTGCCCGGGGGCGCCTCGGCAGCGACACCCCCGGCTGAGGGCCAGGCCCCCGGGACGCCCCCAGCGCCCCTTTTCTCCAAGGAAAGACCCCCCCCCCGGCAGAAGTACGTGCGCAGCCCAAATGCCAGGCTCTCTCCGCAGGGTAAACAAGGCGGCCTTCCCCCCTCTATCAGCAGCACCTGCTGCAAATTTAGGGTAAAACCCGCCATTGCAGGGAGAGGTATTTCGGTGGAGGATTGAGGCCGGTGAGAGGATGAGCTCCAGGGAGGCAGCGCTGCCGTGTTTGCTGGGCCCTAGGCCCATGGAGCAGTTGCTCCCCGTGCTGGGAGCTAGTTCCAGATTTTGGGAGGTAAGGCTAGCAACATCAGGCTTTGTGCAGAGGGGGAAAACAAGAAAAAGTCAGTTTAAATTGAGAGATTATAATCAACTTGGTGTTATAACCCTTCTCAGGTTTTTAAGAAATAACCGTTACAGAAAAAGCAGGTTTAATTATCTTGCAAATAGACCACAGGCTGATTAGAATCATAGAATCATTCAGGTTGGAAGAGACCCTTGGGATCATCAAGTCCAACCATCTACCCTGCTCTACAAAGTCCTCCCCTGGATTAGGATACAAACTCCAGGCTAAGATAGGCATTCTGTAGCCTTAGTTTTTATTTTTACAGAGTAAGGAAGCTTGAAACCACTGATTTTTCTTTACATAAAAGAGCCGGTCTGTTACGTAAACTCCATGGAAGTTTAGGTGGAGGTGAAAAGATGGGCTGTAGAGAGGAAATTGAGTGACACCACTCTGGAGTAGTAGCTGGGAGCAGTCCTGCTGCACGCTGGAGTTGTGTTCTAGAATGTGCTGGGTGCAAGCCTCAAACTGTGTGTGACCTAAAGTAAAGCTCCTTGAAATGAGAATAGAGAGGAAAAGCTGCATTAGGGAGTTAAATTTCATCACGCACTCCACAAATCACAAACTAGATCGACTTTGTTTTTTTTATTATTTTTTTTCTTTTTTATTTTATTTAACCACCTCTTTAAATGGATATAAGCTCTGTGGACAGACTACTAGACCAGTTCTGGTGAACTCTGACTTGTTGTTTATGTAAAACACTAAAATGGCTTTAAAATATCTGCTTTTGACCTCTAATGTGGCAGATGATAAATTTCTGAAGCTTCACATTTCTTTGATGGTTGCTTTTTTTCCCCTTTCCTTTGAAGATAGTGAGTCTTCAGAGCTGGTAAAGCTCTTCCAAAGAGGACTAAAATGTCTGTGGTGAGTGTTCCACTAATGCCTTGGGAATTGAAATATAAGCATAGCTTGTTGTACAGCAATAATGTAGGTAAGAGCAGAACTGTTTATGCTTTTCTTGGTGTAAGACAAACCTCCCTTCATCAGTCTAACAGGGCTGAGCAGCAGGGTGATGTATTCTGAGAACAGAAGAGTGTTGAAATCAAGTTTTCTGTGGTAGTATGGTTACCTGTCACTATTGCTTTTTAACTTAGGTGCAAAGTCTGTAACTGCTGTGGTTGCCCTGCTTCCACGTTTCTTTTGCTGTTTGCTTAGAGCTCAGTGCAAGGTGGGCTATGCTTCAAATGCTGAGGCAGACAGAGTCTTGGTCAGACACCCTGGGTGGGATCCAAGATGTGTGATGGAGGTACCCATCACACATGGGTTACTCAGTAAGCCCTCCAGCTTTGCTTTGTAATGGAAATAAGGAAAAGAGACACTTCTAGGATGCAATTTGTCTCACCTGAAGGAAAACCTCTATAATAAGTCACCTGAATCACAGTCTGGGAGTGCTCATTTCTCAGTTGACTGTGAAGGGAGTCAATGCTGAAGATGTCAGCAGTGAAGTGAGACCCATCACATTGGGTGTGACTGGTTGGTACCAGCCAATTTGGGCTGGGGAGCAGGTCCTGTGCTGAGACCTGGCTGGGGAGGATCACAGCAGCACTACACAGCTCCTGCCTACAGGCTGCTCGTGCTCTTAGCCAGCCCATCCTCTCAGCCGTGTTTGCACGGAATAAGCTTTAGTTTAATTTGATACCATTTTCAGGCTGTAGCTGGAAAACTCTGTATCAAAACACCAAGACAATTTTTAGGAAGATGGCAAAATAAGTTATATGTCTAAAGATGACTCTATGAATATTTCTGCAACTAAGCAAACAGATTTTTGAAAATTAAGCACTTAGGCAATAAAATGCCTATCTAGTCTTCTGTTTATTGCTGTTGAAAGCCACTAGATGGAACCTAAGTACTGCGTGAAAGAACGAGGAAAATGTTTTAACAGACTTCAAATACGGAAAAGAGTGAATTTTTACTACCACAGGTTTTTAAAAAAATCTGTAGGACAATTTAGCTTTACAGATACACCAAACATGTAAATGAAAAGAGTGAATTTTTACTACACAGGTTTTAAAAAAAAAATCTGTAGGACAGTTTAGCTTTACAGATACACCAAACATGTAAAACGTTTATAAACGCTCTGTAACATTTCAGCTGTTTTGCAGTGAGGTTGACCTTGTGCGTCCCACTTGCTAAATCCAGGCTTTGCAGAGCATGGATTCTTTTCATCTGGTTCAGTGAATTAATGCTGATAAAAGCGGAGGGCTGACGGCAGCTCGTTAGTGAAAGCCAGCAGGCAGCCCCTCTGCGAACTGCCTCGCTGCTGTAAAGCATTGGGCTTTTTCTTTCATATGGAAGGGGTTTGTAAGACAGACACTCACAAGGTAGGGGGGAAAGCTGAAGGCTGTTGGCAGCAGCACGCAGAAAAGCTTCCCCTTCCTGAGGAAAGCTGTTAAGAAGGTGCAGGATTTGAAAGAGACATCCTAGATCTTCTCTGCACCGAGGACGGGCATCAGGCTAGAAAACGGAGTGCCTGGTGTAAGAACAGATGTAGTCTTGTGCTTCAGTCTGGATCAAGGCTGTTATTAAAAAATGACCTGGTTGTTCCTGATGAGCTCCCTGACTGGCCTTAGCAGCCTCACTGAACAAATCTGTGTTTAACTGTGTGTAAAGCTGGTGTCAGTCCGCAGATGTCAGCCGTGTTGCTGTGAATTTACACCCACCTTGTTGTTAAGCGCAGTGAGCTGATCTCATGCATATTCCATATGATCTTATTGCTGTATCTTGCATTCAAATGGTAACAGGAGAAGCGAACCAAAGGAATGACTCTTCAGACAGCTGGATCATTAATTATCCCTAGAAATTATCTTATCCTGTAGTATTCTCTTTTTTTAAACTCCTTTGCCTGGCTTGCCATCCGCTTCCTTACTGAATTCAGTTTTACTGGTGTTTTGCAGGATTCAGTTTTGTTGTGCAAACCAGGTACCAGCTTTGGGCTGTTGGGGTGTGAAATAAATAGCAGGGACAGTTTTCTTTGCGGACGCGGTGTGTCTCTGAACAGGTCATCATGCCTTGCCTACCTTTGTCCTCCTCAGATCTGATTTTCTCTGGCCCAGGTGCAGCCTAGTGCACCTGGGATTATCTCAGCAGAAGCACAGATCAGCAAAACCGATACGCTGGCTTTGCCTTGTCAGCCTCTGTGAGAAAGGACTTGCAGCACAGCTCCAGGTTTTTTTATGAAACGGGATGTTCTGGGGGTTTGACAGGTTCAGTGCTGTTGGGTTTATTTCTTAAAGAAACTCTGTAGTAACCTAAAGGTGTCTGAGTTTACCACATTAATTTTAATTGGCAAGTGCTGATGGATTACTGTGTCTTGTACAAATGCAAGGATTTTTTTTTTTTGGAGTAAAGTCTTATTAAAATTAGGGGAATGCTTCCTGCTGAGTTTGGGTGGCTTTTTGGAGCTGGTCCTTGGGGTATTTTAGGCATTCAAGGATCTCAACATGTGGTTGAGGCCTGCCTTCTCCTCTGCACGTGAAGCTTTAAGTCCTGTTTGATTAAGATATGCCTGAGGAAATGTCCTGTTCTGCAATTTTGACCCGATCAAGAGATGTTGTCTTCAAATGCTTTATGATTTTCTTCCTGAAACAAGAAAAGACTAATCTAATTTTGTTTGCTTCAGAGTTATTTCTCTGATCCAGATCAGATTTGAAGGTATTTGTTATGCTGAAGAGTTTCTGATTGTGATAATAAGGTAGCTGATGGTCCTTAGCATCTTTGAAAAATCAAGATATTACCGGCTCCAAGCTAACCTGGCTGCAAGTGAAAGATGTTTTAATTGCAGTTATGTAGTTTGAGAAAGAGCTAAAATATGTCTTTTTTTTTTTTTCTGTCCTGGATTAAAAAAAATGTGTCTATTCACATTAATATCAAAAAGGTCTCCTTCTTGTCGAAAACATTGAGGAGGCCAGTGTCTTAGCTGAGGGACGTAGTGTTCTTCAGAGTCCAGAGAAGGACCATGCCTGGCCTTTGCCTTGAGGACAGAGACACTGCTGGAGCCTGGCTGGGGAGGGACAGAGATCACCAAGCCCTTGACATCTCTGGGAGAGCACCAGGGCTTCTTCTCCTGGAGCCACCAAAGGGGTTGGTCCTCTTCCAGCGGGTGGGTGAAGAAGGTGTTGTAACACGTGTCTCACCATGCTCCGAGCTGGTGCACTGTCTTCTGGCTGGGTGTGCTCTTCACCCCCTGAGCCGTGGTGGACCTACCCAGAGCCCCCACCAGCCGAAGCGTGGCTGCATGGTGCCTCTCGGCCCCGCTCTGCCTCTCAGCTTGGGTGGCTGCCCAAAAGAGGCAGCACCTTGAGAGCTGTGCTGCCATAGCCCAGCTTCTTTTCCTCGCATAGTCCCCTGAACAGGTCCCCAGGGCAGGAGACAGCTGGCCCATCACTGTGCGTGTGCTGGTTGGGCTGTCACTGAACACATATGTTCGTGGGAGGTATGGTTTAGTGATGATGCTCCTTGTTTGTTGTGTGGGTGTCTATTTTTGTCAGTTAGGTTGACGGTTGGACAAGATGATCTTTAAGGTCCCTTCCAACCTAGAAGATTCTGTGATTCTGTGTCTATGTCTGATGCTGGTTGAAGTTTTGACCACACACTGCATGGCTGGCTGCAGTGTGTACTCTGGCTTTGTTGTCCTCAGCTGCCAAACTGCTGAGGGTCCTGTGTGCACTCTGGCCAGGTCACAAATATCTGCAGTTTGTGAGGTGAACAAAAATAACAACTAGTATGTAGGTATGCTGCAGCCTCGCTGCGTAAAATCTAACAACGGCTTTATTTGAGGAGAGTAAACCAGCTGAGTGTCCTTCCCTTGGACCTGGTTTCCATTAGAAATGAGCCAGAAGAGAATCTGAGAAAGGACAGGTCCTGAGTGCTGGGAAGTTGTGATGCTGCTCCCAGCCTTATGCTGGTAATTGGTAGAAACCCCTGCTCTCAAAGCTGCTTCTGTAAAGCTTTCCTGAACTATCTTTTGTAAAGGTTTGGAGACCACTTTTGAGTGCTGAGCTCCTCTCCTGACACTATTTCCATAAGCCTGCTCACTGAGCGTGGGAAATCTCACCTCCTTCCCTTTTTAGGCAGGTGCTCCTGTTTCAGAGTCTGCTTTTGCTGACAAAGTACTGTCAGGCTTTCAAAGTGGCGAGTAACTGGCTGTTTCCGAGTCCCTCCTTTGCTTCTGAAGGACCAAACTGTCTGCAGACCCTTGAACCTCCCTTCATTTGAGTAAGCTTGGACCCACAGTTCAGCTTTGTGACTGGGTTTGTGTCTCTGGCATTTTTCCTGCTTTCCATTGGGTTGGAAATACTGAGAGGACAACCTTCCTCAGAGTGCTCTCTGTTTTCTTCAGCTTGCCCAAATGTAACGCCTCCTGCAGAGCTGAAAATTAATGGGAAGAGAATGAATGAAAATGTTTTGAATCTCAAGGATTTGGATTAAACTTTGTGTAAAGCTTTTGGTTTGAGGCTCGTCTCTTTCAAATGCGCTCACTCTCTTGTAGTGTAGATATATATATCACCGAGGTCCTGGTGAGCTCAGGAAGGCTCACGCAGGTGATACTACATCCTTCAGACACCGGCATCCAGTCTGTGCTCTAATGGCTGTGACAAATCCCCTGAAGCAGAATTGTCAAGCTGACTCCATCATCAGATGTGCCCAAAAGCTTTGAAAGCACCGCTGAGAACGTCAAACGGGACTGATGAGGTTGGATGGCATCTGCATGAGGGGATAAATGGTTCTTGAGTGCGATTCACGAATCAGAACATTAGACTATTGTAATCAAACTCCAAGTGAGCCTCTCTGTAGGGCATAAATATCAGCAGCTGCTGTCAGACGGGACTGATGAGGTTAGATCGCATCTGCATGAGGGGATAAATGGTTCTTGAGTGCGATTCACGAATCAGAACATTAGACTATTGTAATCAAACTCCAAGTGAGCCTCTCTGTAGGGCATAAATATCAGCAGCTGCTCTTCATACATGACAGATCTCTCTCAAAGCTTAACCGTGCTTATTAATCCTTCTTCTGACCAAAACGTATTTGAATGGTACCTTAACCTCCCATAGGGTAGAGAAGATGTTGTGAGCACCTTAATTCACTTCGGTGACTGATGTATTAATGTTTTTAGTGTGTTAGGAAATGTTTGTCCCAGTTTACTTTGCTGTTATGTGAGGAAATTTAGAAGTGACTCCTTTGTAACCTCCAGCCAGGACTGGGCAGTGGATTTATCAAGCCTGTGATTTCTACAATGTGGAGTGGAACTGATTCAATTCCTGTGGAAAGACTGGGTCAATATTTCTGTGTAGTCAGAAGTGGGAAGCAGTCAGGGTCAGGATGCAGAGGCAATTCTGCAAAATAAATGATAATCAAATCAGTCTACAAGTTATATTCTTAAATACAGGACTGACACGCCTAGTGGGATTGAAAGGAGGTGATGAGTTTGTATACATGAACCTGAGCCTGTTTAGATCTCAGCTCAGCAAAATATTTAAGTCGTGTCACTTTCAATGGTATTCAAAAGTGTGCTGAAATGGCTGGCTTGTACCAGTCCATAGTCATTTTCTGTGCCTTATAGTATGTCTTCATTTGAGGGGGGTAACGTCTTCCTGCTCTTTGGGAAGCCCCATTTCTTTTTGTACCTGTTGTTTTTCTTTTTTAAATCTCCGCAGCCATTGAAAAGGAAAGGAACAGGGAGTCATTCCATTCACTGAAATGAATACAGGCTGTGGATCAGAGCTGGGTCATCTGCTGGGACCCAGAGCATAAACCCAGTGTGCTCAGACCGCATGCCTTAGCAGCAGGGCAATTCCAATACAGATTTGATGGAATATCTTTTCCCTGGTATTTGCTAAGTCTTACAGTGGCTTTATACTTTCTTGGCTCTCACATGCGTCTTACCTTACAAAGTAGGGAATAATTTAGCAGTTTATCTACGAAACGTTCTTGGTCTGCCAGTGAAGACATTACTGGATTGAGGGATTGTGTTGTGGGTGTGTTTATGAGGCATCCTTGTTTTCCTGCTTGCATTTCCTCTGCACGGTGGAAAAGCTGTGTATCAGTGTTCCAGAAAAATCACAAAAAGAAAGGGTGAGATGTGTCTTACCTGTGGGGGACCCAGCTCTGTGACCTTTCTACCAGTGCAACCCTGGGCAAAAACTTAATTAAAATTACACTTAACCTTTTGCTTAATTGGCTGTTCTGGTGGAAGCAATTCCAGCAGTGGGATATATCTGGCCAGTGGTGGACTGTGCTTTTCCTGTAAAAAGTAATAATTGACTTTTCATTTAGTCCTATAGTTGAAGCAGAATTGCTTCAAGGCTGAAGGCACTAGTGCCCATTAATATAGTACAAGAGATTACAACTGGGAAATGTCTCTTTCAAGCAGTTCTGGAAAAATATGGTCATATCTTCAAGTAAATAAAAATTGATCCATTCCTATTTACGGTAAATAAATTAGTACTACATGAAGGAAACAGTCTTTAAAAGCATTTCTCTTTTTAGTGGTGACTCAGCTATCGTGGTTTTATAGGACAACTGAATGAAACTTGCTTGGATTCTTCCCAGAACAAATATATACACTTTTAAAGTCCTCTGGAGAATAGAAAAAGAACCAGCAGTAATGCAGAAGCACTTGTTTAATCTCCAGTCCACCAGATATTTTTACATTAGCGTGGAGTGCACATGGTCAGTCCTGATCTACAAGCGTAACGTTTGGAGTCCTTGAACGTGTCTGAAACAAGAGCAGAGAGACACAAGTTTTCCTGAGTGCACTAAGCTGAGAAAGAAAGGCAAAGAAGCGTGGGTTTGCTTGTACCCATCCCCTTAGACATGTCCTTGGGCTGAGGGGTCTCTATGAGGAGAATTCTCGGTATATATTGTGGGGTGTCTGGAAAACAGATAGTAATAAATACATCATTTTATATTGGAAGATGGATAATTCAGTGCCTAAGAATGTGAACTGGAAAATAAATCAATGCAAAGAGACTTTCTCTTATTTGGTGTTCGTTTCTCCTTTTTCTTTCCCCAGTGAATGTTCCTCAGCAGTCCAAGCAGGATGTTTTTACAAATCTCTTGCTGAAAGTCTCAGATCTGCTGTTTTTCCTCATGAGAATTGCAGACGGGAAGGCGGATCGTTGCAGCTCAAGTTTAAAGCAGCAAGTAGCAAGTCAAGGTAATTTCAAGACCTTTCAAGTGGTTGTTTTCTAGCTGAACCAATGGTCACTTGCTCTAAATCACTCTGACGTGCTTGGTGAGAAGCAATAGTACGGTGCTGTCTCCTCCGAACTCCTGGATTTACAGTGATAATTGTACAGCATGAATCTAGGTTTAAGCTAATCTCCAGTTACCTCTTCCATTTTCATTTTACGCTGGCTTGCTCTGCCAATGACCCCCTTTAGATTGCTAGTTCTATAAATCTTTGTCGCAGAGGGTCACCGGATTTGAGGGAAAGGAGAAAAAACTGGGAACAAAAGGAAGTCTGATGTGCTTTCTCCGCTAGATGCTGTGCCAGAGGTGGGTGTGCTGGCTCCTGTCTGATTCAGCTAGTGCAGATGCCGCTGCTAAACGTGTTAACTAAATACAATCTGGTAGGGGTTTCTTAATTAGCTTGTTTACAGAAGCACGTACAGAAACAATTTGGTTCAGCAAGAGCTGATCAATCAAGCTTTAGTTGAAGAAACCCCTAGAGTGATGCTTTCCACCTGACCTGCTGGGTTTAGAAAATACCGATAACACCAGGAATTGGCTGCTGCAGTGTGCGTTTAGTGTCCTCAGTGTGCATCTGGGGGAAGCAGGGAGGGACCACTTCTTCCACCTCACTTGGAATACTTCTCCTTTCACGAATACACCTTTGCCAAGAAAAAAAACAAACCTGAAAACTCGTCAGTCTAATAAACTTGGAAGATTATGTAGATGAAAATCCCAGAGCCCTTGGGCCCTGACCACTGTGTTGTTTAGATGAATTGGCAGAGCCTGAAACCTGTATCTCCTCCTTCTGACCTAGGGCTATTCCCTTAAATGCCTTCTTCAGGCTCGTTCTCCCAGTTCCCATTTTGGGCTGTCTCTTGTGGTGTTGGAAGCTCATGTTCCCTTTAGCATTGCTTGGAATAGGAGCAGCAGTGAGACTGATACTCTCTCTGCGGGTGAGTGTGTCGTGGCCCAGGCTGGACTGACGTGTAGATACTCTTCTGGTACACAATACCCAAATACAGCTTTAGAGGTGTGGAGCTGTGTTTGCATCAGTGTATGTCCTCCTGTCTGTTTTGAATGCCTTCTCATCAGTTTTGCTGGTGCTGGTGGGCACTACCTGGTGCAAGGAGTCCCAGATTCGTGGCATCGGTCTTCATCGGTGGAAGGCCATGATGCTTTGTTCTTGAGGAAGCTTCTTCCTTAAGTGCTCTGGAGGCTTGGATATAGCTGTCAGACCTTAGATGATCACCTTATCTGACAGTAGCTGCCTTGCAGGTCTCTGTGGGGGTACCCTAGATTCCTGTGGTGTGTTTCTGTGGCAGGCACAGGTGAAGGCACTTTGTACTCCTGGCAGCATCAATTATGCTACATTGTACATGTGGAATCTCTCACTCAATTAAAACGACAGGGTGAACTTTGCAAAGCTCTTCTTGCAGATCAGGAGTACAGTTCATCCCTGTATTAGAGACAGAACTATGGTACATCAGCTTGATGTGCTTTGGGGAGAATGAGCAATTTTCATAAGGTGCATAGCAGGTCAGAGTGGAAGTGAAGGACAAAGAGTTTCTTTCTTCTAGGAGTGAATCGAAGCAAAGTGAATACCATGTTTACAGCGTGAAGCCCAGATCCTGCCTTATACTACGCTCTTCTAAACTATGCTAGATGACAATCTGAGTGTGTGACCATCTAAGCCAATGATTTTAAACGACAATTTGAGCTGTGTAATGCAGGATCTGGACATTCTTTTGAGGTACTTACATTTCAAACTAGACTGCGTATGTTTAACGTCCTTTCTGTCTCTTATAGCTGCTGCTGGATGGATGGAAAAATCATTTGGCTTGTGGGATGCTATTTAATAAAAATAATTCTTTATGTCTGAATTTGAGCTGTAGTCAGTACCAATAGAGAAAACTGTAGGTGATCCCACCAGCAAAATCTTCATCAAGTGCTCTCCTCTGGTTTTCATTTTCACCTCAGAAGCAGGGTGAAGAAAGTGAGACCTTTTCAGAGCTCTAATCTGCATTTGTCCAATGAAATTATGAGATTTGAATTACACACCGAGGTTGAAAATGTCCTTGTTGTGCAGGAAAGGACATCATCTGGAACTGTCAGAGTTGGAATATATAAAACTGCACGTAGAATAATTTGTCCAAAGTTGCTATCAAAAAGAGAAAAAGGGAGATACCTTTGTCAGCCAAAATGTCACACCTTGTAGATTTAGAGCAGGATGAAGTGATTTGCCGACCTCCATACAACTCACAGGGGCCAAATAAGTCTTTTCCCTGTATAATCCCACTGGTCTTTCTCTGACACTGCAGCCAGGGCTAGGCAGCTGATAATGTATAGTGTCACTAATCTGTTGGGTTGCACACAGTATGAAGCTCAGCAGTTTGCAGGTTGCCAACTGTCTTTGAAAGAAAGACCACGGGACAATGCATGAAGACTTTATTTGGCTTTTACTATTTATCTTCATGATCCCACTGACTCTCATCAGTAGTTCTGCTGAATAATAGCAGTAAGAAAACATTATGGAAGTGTACCAGGGGACCCTATCTCAGAATCACCAGTTACACTACCTAATAGATACATCCTTCTGGTAATGCAGGCTGTTTATCAAAGCGTCTGTAGACAAGGATTTCTTTGAAGCAGCTGCCTAGGGAAGGTGTTTCTCATGAGCTTGGGGAGAGAGGAGGTACAGCAGGTTGAGGGTGGACTTGGAGCTGTGTGTAGGGTTTTTTCAGCAGACTTTACATGCAGGATGAGATCATGGGAGGTGAGAATGTGGAACTACAGCAGCTTAGCCTTTCAGTTTGACTCTCCTCCATCCACTTCCTTTCCTCCTCTTGCCCTTGTGGGCATACGTTGTAGGCAGTAAGTCTCTCCCTTCACTCCACAGTAGACAAAATGTATACGTGGGATGGTTGCTACCAGCTACTCCTGTTCCTGGTACCGAGATACTCTTCTTGCTGTTACGATTGACAAAGGGTAGTTAGGACAGCGTATTGATGTGGTTCTGTTCAGTCACTCTCTGCTCAGCTCTGCTGTTTTGAAATGAGAGGCGTGAGCTTATCCCTTCCAGTGGGAGTCTTCTGTCTCTCCGGGTGTCAAAGGTGAGGGAAGTTTAGGGAAGTTATCGTGCCTCTGTACTCGGCACTGGTGAGGCCTCACCTCGAGTACTGTGTTCAGTTTTGGGCCCCTCACTACAGGAAGGACATTGAAGTGCTGGAGCGTGTCCAGAGGAGAGCCACCAAGCTGGTGAGGGGCCTGGAGAACAAGTCCTATGAGGAGAGGCTGAAGGAACTGGGCATGTTTAGTTTGGAGAAGAGGAGGCTGAGGGGAGACCTCATTGCCCTCTACAACTCCCTGAAAGGAGGTTGTAGAGCAGCAGGTGTTGGCCTCTTCTCCCAAAGGACGAACGACAAGACCAGAGGAAATGGTCTGAAGTTGCGGCAAGGGAGATTTAGATTAGATATTAGAAAGAATTACTTTACTGAGGGGGTGGTCAGGCACTGGAACAGCCTGCCCAGGGAGGTGGTGGAGTCACCATCCCTGGAGGTATTTAAGAAATGTATAGACATGGCTCTTCAGGGCATGCTCTAGTGCCCAAGGTTAATGGTTTATGGTGAGGTGTTGAGTGTGGGGTTTAGTTGGTGGGTGCGGTGTTTTTGGTGGGCGTTTGGTGTGGTGTGTTTTGTATTTGTTTGGTTTTTGTTTGTTTGTTTGTTTGTTTGTTTTTGTGGTTGGACTCGATGATCTCAGAGGTCCCTTCCAACCACTAAGATTCTGTGATTCTGTGAGCGGTCTTCTGAGTTTGAGAAGTTGTTAGGGGTTTGTGAGTGGCTTCCTTAGGCTAATGGTGTTGCAGATGGAAAGGAAAGAGAGGGAGAAGAGAGTGAGTAAAGAGGAAAGGGCAGGTAGGCCCCGAATATGCCGTTCTCCCACCGCTGCCTGGGTGGAGACAAGCCTCAACAAGCGCGGTAGGTATGACTGCAAGTCTTTGAGGAGCACAGAGGGAACTGGTGTTTCCATTGCTTGGATGAAAAGCACTATGCACACAAAGTGTTTGCTATTGAGAAACTGATCCTATTTCATGATGTTTGTCAAAAGCTGATGTTCTGTTCCTTTGCTATCTTGCCCATTACAGGGGTGAGAAGGCATTAACGAGGGGTTCTGTTTGCTTCTTGTAATGGCTGATTCCCTTGCTTTTGGCTAAGAAATCATTAAGCTTGTTCAGAAGGAGACTGTGCAGATTTGTTTCTGAAAGCTTTACAGAAATCTGCGGGCAAATTGTCTGAGCCCAGGGCATTTCCAGATTGCATATCCTTAATTGTATTAAACACTTCAGAGCCATCTGACGGATTGTCTCACAGTTCAACCATCTGCTCTGGAAATTTAGGCAAGCTTTACTTTATGGAGAAACTCTGAGTCACTCACACTGGAGTGTCATTAGATGGCCCCTGGGCTGCTCTTTGATGGAGAAAGACTAGTATAGTGTCACTGCTGATAGTATGCTGATTGAGAGAAACATAAGGTTTTAGGGGCCCATTAGTTTTGATCAATTAGGCTAAAAATACAGCTTTCTTGCCTGCCTTCTCCTTGCAAAAAGACTAGTTACCCCACCAGTCCAAGCCAAAAAATTGGCGTTGTTATTTTAGTTGCTTTGTATTGATTATTATAAATAACTTTCTGCTTTCAAAACAAATTGTTGTTGTCTTTTGAGGTAGTTAGTACTCGTTTACTTGATTATCACAGGAGCTTAGAAGCTTTGAAGCACCTCCTTTTGTAACATACATGTGAGGTAGGGAATATGGTTACCCTCATAGCAACAAGAGAGAAATAAGGTCATGTAGGTGAAAGTGACTTTCACTAAGGACTACACTAGCCGCATGAAAGCCACTGAAGTGATAGTTTCATGCCTGGTTCCTGTGTACTTGCTGTCTTTCCCCAAAGCAGAGAAACTCTTTAAGTAGCTTGCTAAGAGAT